AATTATATAATGTGTTAGAAGGTGATAGTGCCATCAAAAAAAACCATTGGAGGAGGGGTCAGCTAGTGGCATAATGTTAAGTTCACGCACTCCACTTTGGCGGCCTGGGGTTTGCCAGTTCAGATCCTGGGTATGGACCTATGCCCTGCTTATTAAGCCATGCTGTGGCAAGTGTCTCACATATAAAATAGAGAAAGATGGGCACAGATGTTAGCTCAGGGCCAGTCTTCCTCAGCAAAAAGAGGATTGGTGGCAGATGTTAGCTCAGGGCTAACCTTCCTCACAAAAAAATAAAAAACCTTGGAGGATAAAGGGAGATTGGGAAGTTCCAGAGTGGAGTTGGGAGTGGTATTTTCAATATGGTGGTCAGCTTTGGCCTCATTAAGTATGTGCTGTTCTTGAAGGAATTAAGAGAACCAAGTGGATATCTGGGGGAAGAACATTCCAGATAGAAAGAACAGCCTTCACAAAGGCTTGCATAAACAGCAATATGTCTGTCGTGTTCTAAGAAGAACCAGGCAGTATGTCTAGAGAAGGGCGAGAGCGAGGGAGGTGGTAGATCAGAGAGATAATAGGCAACCAGATTATTGTAAGGACTGAGTGAAATGGAAGCCATGGGAGGTTTTGAGCAGAGAAGTGAGATGTTCTAACCTGTGTTTTAAAAGATCATCTGGCTGCTGAGTTGGGATTAGAGTGTAGGGGGAGCATGGAAGCAGGGAAACCAGTTAGGAAGCTGTTCCAGGTAATCTAAATGACAGATGATAGTGGCACAGACCAGGATGATAACAATGGAAATGGTGAGAAATGGTTGGATTCTGAATGCGTTTTGAAGGTAGAGTTTACAAGATTTGCTGGGTATTAAATGTGGAGGTGAGAAAGGAGGGAGGGAAAGGGGGATGACTTCAAGGGTTTTGCCTCTGCCCCTAGAAGTATGGAGGTATATCACCTGAGATGGGAAAGACAACAAGGAGAGATGTTGAGTAGGCAGTTGGATCCAGGAGTGAGTTACTGGGCAAGGTCTGTGCTAGTATATGAATTTGGGAATCTTCAGCAATGGTATTTAAAGCCATGAGACTGAATGTTATTACTAAGCAATGAGCATAGACAGAAAGCAGCAGAGGACCAAGGACAGTGTCTTGTAACATTGAGAGTTCAGGAAGAGGGTCAGCCAACAAATGATGCTAAGAAAGATCAACAGTGAATTTAAGAGAGCAACCCAAAAAGTATGTTGTCCGAGAAGCTAAGCCAAGATCCTTTATCAAAGAGGAGGCAGTAATCAGCTGTGTCAAATGCTTAAGTCTAGTGAGGACTGAGAATTGAGGATTAGCTTTAGCAATGGCTGTTGGTGACCTTCACCATGTGTTTCATTTGAGTGCTGGAGGCAAAAGCCTATGAGGAGTGAATTTAAGAGAAAAGGAATGACAGATAGTAAGTAGAGACAACTCTTAGGAGTTTTGCTACAAAGAAGAGCAGAGAAAGCGTGTAGCTGGTGAGGGAAGTGGGTTGAGACTTTTTTGTTAAAGATGGGAGAAGTAGCCACCTGTTTGTTTGCTGACGGGAATGATCCATAGAGATGGGAAATTGATGGTGAAGGAGAGAAGGAATGACTAAATTGTTGGGACAGTATCCTTGAGTGTACTGGAGGCTAGGACCTGATGCACTGGTAGAAGGATTGTACTCAGATAACAGTGTGGATGGTTCAACTATAGTGACAAGCAGGAAGGCATAGTCTAGGCACACAGATATTGGTAGGTGGTTAGATGTAGTTTTGAGAGTCTAGAAGTTTCCATTGCTTCAGTTTCCTCAGTAAAGTAGAAAACTTTGTATCTCACTTAGGTACTTTTATATTTGATATTAACATTTTGACATACGACCGAGTTATTTATTCACTAACAAATACTTATTGAATACATACGTTATACTAGGCATTGTTCCAGATGATAAATATATAACTGTGAGCAAAAGTCCCTACCATCATGGAACGTCTATTTTAGTGGCTGGAAACAGAATAAGCATATATATGTCAGCTTCAATTAATGGTATGAATGAAAATAAAGCATTGTAAGGGGGAAGGAGGGCAGATCTTTTTTATAGCTTTGTCACAGAAGTCCTTTCTGATGAAGTCATGTTTGAGCAGAGATATGAGTCAAATGTAGTGAACCATGCAGGTATCTGGGAAGAACATTCAAAGCAAGAACAGCCGGTGCAAAGGCCCTAAAGCAAGAACATCTTGCCATATCGAAGAGCAGCAAGGGACCAGTATGACTGGAGCAGAGTGAATGAGGGAGTAAGTGGAAAAAGATACATTCAGAGAGGTAGTGGGGGGCCCAGATCATGTAGGCCTTGCAAACCACTAGAAGGACTTTGTTTTTTACTCTGAGATAGGATGCTGCCATCTGAGGTTTTGAATAAATGGGTGATGTGGTTTGATTTATGTTTAAAAGGCTTAGTGTGGCTGGGGTGGGGGTTGGGTAGGCAAGGGTAGAAAGCTATCACAGTAATCTTAGTGACAGATGATGGGCTGATGGTAACTTAGTGCTAGCGGTGGAGATGGTAAAAGTTGTCAGATTCTGGCAATATATAGAAGGAAGCACTGACAGGATAGGCTGACAGATTGGATGCAGGGTGAGAGAAAAGTTAAAACTAGAAGGTCTGAGGGCTGTCTTACTGGAAGACTAGATTTACTGTTTAATGTGGTGGCAAACTGAGGGCAGAAAAAGTTTGGAGGGGTGGTGCAAAGGGTTTCTGGACTCAATTCCAGTGTGTGGGTGTGGAAACTTCCCCACACCAACAAGCAGTTCTTGGACACCAGCAGGGTGTCGGAGAATTCAGCTCAATTCTGACCCAGAGATAGAATCAGATTCCACAGGTAAAGGGCTCAGTCCCACAAGACCACCTCCCACTTCAGGCATCACTTGCAAGTCCCCGGTTGTGACCTGTACTTCTGGCCAGCTGGCTATAAGTCAGAGGTTTCCACGACCCCCTTTCCTCAGGTTCCATTAATTTGCCTGAGCGGCTCACAGAACTCAGAGAAAGGTTACTTAATAGATCACCAGTTTATTGTAAAAGGATATTAAAGTATACAATAGTCAGATGAAGAGATATGTAGGGCAACGTTCAGAACAAAAGAGCTGCTGTCATCATGGAGCTTGGGGCCCGGCAAGGTGGCAAGAGGAAGCATTCTGGTTCCCCAACATGCAAGCTCTCTAAAGAAAGATTGACAGGCTGTCCTTTTGGGTTTTTATGGAGTCTTCATTACATAGTCATGATTGACCAACTAAGTCTTTGGCCATTGGCAATTGATGCAACCTTAAGTTCCCCCTTCCTGGAAATGTGGGAGTGGAACTGAAAGTCTCAATCCTCTGATCACAGGGCTTGTTCTCCTGGCAACCAGCCCCCGCCCTTGGGTGGAGTCCAGAAGTCACCTTCATTAACATAAACAAGAAATTCCAAGGGTTTTGGGAGCTGAGAGCCAGGAATTATGGACAAAGATCAGATATATAAGAAAAACATATTTTGGTCATCTGACCAAATATATATTTCTTAAAAATCACAATATCACAGGTAGTATCAGGAGTTGGTGTTTGACAAATTTGATTTGAGCTACCTACTTGATATTTCTGTCCACTGTCGAGTAGACAATTTTATATATGGCAACAAGGGGAGAAGTCAGGACTGGAGGTATAAATTTGAGAGTCATCAACAGATACGTAGTATTTAAAGCTATAAGTCTGGGTCAAGTAACTACAGGAGTAAAGCGTATAAAGGGCAGGCATCGGAAGCCTTAGGGCACTCAAGTAATTAGAAGTCCGGTTGCTGAGGAGGAACCAGCAAAAGACAAACAAGAAAAATGGTAGTATCCAGTGATGTGGGAGGAGAATGGGGTCCCAAAAGCCCAAGAAAAGGTTTCACGAGGCAGAAGTGATCTAGTGCATCAAATGCTCACAAGGTGTGTAATGTGACGACTGCTACCTGACCATTATTTTTGCTGAGCTTTGCCTGATGATTGCTCCTTGAATCTATCTCCTTCTGTCCACCTCTAAACTGAAAGTGCCGTGGTCAGGGATCTTGTACGTGACACGTAGTAGCTCAGTGTTTGTTGACTCTGTACTACTGCTGCCCTCCTCTCTCCCTAATCTTGCTCTCAAGTTCGTTCTTCCCCTTGCTACCCATATGTCTCACCTTTCCTGCCTGGAATGCTTCACTGGCTCCGCATCGCCTGCGCTGTAAACCCTGGCACTTCTCCTGATGGAACATATCCCTCCGTACCATCTTTTACAGCCTCATCTCCCACCGCTTCCTATTCATACTTACCCCCTAATAATACAAAACAAATTGTATTATTTCATCCTTCTATGGCTTTACTCATTCTATCCTTTCAGCTTAGGATGACTTTCCTCCTTTGCTTGGCTAAGTCTAGCTTGAAGAATCAGGAAGCTTTTGGGAGCTGACTCATTCAAGTCCACAGACAGCCTCCATAGTACACTGTGTATATCTCTATCACAGGTCTCATTCTCTCTTGAATTTAACTTTTTTGTATGTCTGTTACCCTGTGTAGAGTATACATTTTTTAGGGTTAGGAGTGTATCTTTATTCCTCTTCCTCTCCTATCACAGTGCTGTGCTGTCTTCTTGGTAGGCACTCTAGAAATCCCAAATTTTAAGAGAACAGGAAAATGAAGGGGAAGGCATGGAGTTGCGAGCTGAAGATTGTCTGGATCAGTGACTTGACACTAAGTAGAAAGGAATGGTACGTGGTAAATTCTAGACTAGGTCAAAAGGCAGACTTTTGAAAGAAATAGTAAAGATGTACATTTTAATAAATATAATATCTGTACTTTGTATAAAGGAGTATAAATGCGTATGTCAAAATAACAATTATATAGTAATTTGCAATTACAAGAGTTCTGATAGTTTGTATTAGAATATGTGAAGTAGACTATATTACATACATGATTTATAATATTTTCTTTTTTTAATGCTTTCATATGAAACTTATAGGACATCAATGCAAGCCTGAATAAGAAAAACAATTGCTTCCTCCTAAGCCATGGCATATCAGTTATACAGAAATACCACTTTGGGAAACAGTCTTCAGGAGAGCCTCGATGAGCTCATACAGGTGGGAGACTGAACATTGACATGTTAATTTAGATGGGTTTGTAATAATTCTTGTTACATCCCTTGCCCCAGGCAAAGAGATATGAGGTCGATTATCTTAGACTGTTCAGCCTGGCAAGTCAGTGTTCAGCTGAATGACTTCAAATTCCTGAGCATTATACCGTCCTGACGACAGGGTATAAAACAGTGATTAAATGATACAGTTGAATATATCTAAATTTTCAAAGATTTTTGTTAACATAAAAATTGAGATTGTTGGCTTTCTCCTATTTATAAGACAGGCATATTCTGTGTAGCTTTAAGATAATTTTGGACAATTTGATAAAGTCATTTTGAGATTTAAATAAGAATTTTGAATTTATATTTCAATTTTAAGAGAATAACCTTTTTATATAAACCTCTCATCTAAGAACATAAGTATTTCTATGTTTTCATATATTTTATGAGCTTTGATAAAGTGTATTTGAATTTTTTTAATACATTGTTGTCCTTTGTTTTTTATTTAAAAGAAACTTGGTTCCTTCAATTTATTGAATGCCTCTTTCCAGACAGTCTTGAAGGAATGACAGAGTTTTGTCCTGGCGTTGTAACATCACTGCATGTTTTCTTTTCAAAATTATGTTTGTGTCAACACAGTGCAAGAAAATATTGTCAGCCTTTGCTTCTTAATTGTCAGTTATAGCAAAGAAAAATAAGGAATTCTAGTTTAGAGGCTCTGGTTAACCTCAGTTAAATTTTAGATGATAATTCATATATTTTTGTTTATTTTGTCTTTAGCGTTCTTCCCTAAGAGGATGTGTGACCTTTACTTTTTCTCAGTCTCAACAGATCACCCCGCAGCTTGCCCTTCAAGTCCTCCTTCAGTTTGATAAGGCTATAAATTCAGCGTTGGCTCAGAGGGTCAGGAACAGAGTCAATTTCAGGGTAAGGATATTTTCCTAAATCTAGAAGCCTGTACCAGTGGTTGTTACAACAGTGCTTTTTAGGACCCCCTCAATATTTATTAATCATAAAAGGAAGAGATGGCTTCATCAAATTTTGGAACTTGTTTTATAGTAACTAAATTATACTTTACTTTTTATACTAAATTCATCCCACTTAATGTGAGATACAAAGTTGTTTTTAGATTTTTATTCCATTGTTTCACAAATCAGCCTATGTGTATTTGGCTACCTTCCCTGAAGAGTTACTGAGTTTTCCAACGCCTGAAACGTTATCTGCAGGACTGAAGATAAGTGACAGAGTAATCCCTAAGTTCTGTTCTGTTTTTCAAACTCTGACCTTCAACCATTCTGGGAAAGTACAGTTATTTCTAGAAACTTCAGGTTGCCTCCCATCTACTCTTAGATAACATAGCTTATAAAGACCTGAACTGGTGGTAGATAACAGTCTGTTCTGATAGCTTCATTTCATTTGAGTTATTTATACTTTGAACAGTAATCCCAAACTGAACAAAATTATCTTTCTCAATTTGATGGTGAATCAGATTAAAAGGCCCAATGAAAGTATCATAGTGAATAGAAATAATTTACCACGTTATGATATTGATGGAGTTATATAATATAGGGTACAATACTTGGTTATTATATTTATCTAATAGGTATGCTTATGTTATAAGACATAACCATAAAGTAGAAATTAAAAAGTTGAAATATATGAAAATCAATACATGAAAAGAACATACAAATTAATTTTTATTTAAGAGAACTTTAGTGTTTGGGGGTTTTGGTTTTTGCTCATGATGACAAACACAAAAGAAAAATTTATCATTTATTCAGCGAACATTTCAGAGCCTACTACGTACCAGGCATTGTTCTGGATATTGAATATACAGAAGAGAACAAGACAGACAAGGCCTTGTATGACTTAGATTTTAATGAAGGGATAAAATCTGCACATATTGTATATTCGTATAAATAAGTCTGTTAATTTCACATGCCTAAAAATTATCTGGAGTAAAATGCATCTTTAAAACTATAAAATTTTATCAGATTTTTTAACATTGGCGATTCTGACAAAATTAGTTTGCTTTTGTTTTTGTATAAATAAACCTAAAACTTTGCCCGGTTTGTCATTCAAAGCATGATGCTTTCATTCTAAATTGATCCATGCTAATATATAAACTTTTGCCCATGTAGGAATTTTGTTTGACTGCTTATCAGACTTGGTAGGGTTCACAAGGTCTGAATAGTCTTCTAGTTGTATTGTGGTAGGCTTCTAGTTTGGATCTGTTTAGCTAAAGTTAAAGTAGTCTGACATTTGCATTTCTCTTAGAAAGTGTTTTGTAAATTTGTCTGTTTTCCAGAAGCTATAAATAATTACTCATATTTTGATCAGATCTGATTTTTCATTCCTACTGCAACTGCTCAGGCTTTCATCACCCCCCCACCACCACCATCATTACCACAAACTTGATCAATTTTAAGTCCAGAATGTTTGCAAATAGCCTTCTGTTAAGCTTGAGTGGGCATATGGCAAAGACAAAAGAAATAATATATTGGTAATACCTAATTTTTAAAGCCATATTGCTAGATCACATTTAAATATATATTTTTTACTGGCCTAGCAATAAGATCAAGGACCCATTGAAAGAATAGGATAATATGCTACATGCTAAATTTGCTTTAAATCCTCATGAATTTCATATAACAGATCATTTAATAGAATGTTATATGTTGACATTTATTAATAAAAAAGTCAAAATATGTTTACCAAGGACCTTGAACTGAATTAATTTTTAGGGATAAAATTCAGCTTGAACTAGTATGCTTTTGCAAGCATTACTCTCACTGGCAGATGAGAGTAATGATTAAACATTATTATAATACTAAACTTCAAACAGTAATTAAGCAAGGATTAAAAGACTTAATGGTCAAGGAAAAATAGCCCTTCTATTGACACTGACAATTTCTTTTTCCCTGTTATTTGATGTTTCTACAATGAACATGTATTATATAACTTTTTAAGATGATGTTTTAACTTGAGAAAAGTGTTGCCTAGTTGTAGATACACGTAAAAAAAATTAGAGGTGTTTTGAAGATAGTTTGGCCAAATGAGTGTTAAAATCAGTTACTGGACCAAGGCCAAACATTATATAGAAGGAAGTTTTTGAATATAAAGAATAAATCCAAAATCTTATTTTTAAAACAATAATCATTCTTTGAGTCCCTATATTTGAGATGCTAAATAGATTCTGACTTTCCAATAAAGACAGTGAAGATACTTAAAAACTAAATTAAATACGGGAAAGGTCTTTTAAACTTTTCTAAAAAGATTACGTTTAAACACAGGAAGAGATTAGGTAAAATAAACTTTTTTAAACATTTGTTAGTTCTAAAGTTATCTAAGTAATATACACTCTTAATCATCAATTTGTTTTAATCTAAATATTGGAAATCATTTAATAACTTTTAATATATAAAATTAACAGCTTTCACAGTCAATCTCTTGTAGCATTTTACTTTCACAATAAAACAGTAGAATTTCAACATATATTTGAAAGTGAATGTTCACATACTAACCATAAATCCCAGTAACATGCCTGTTCAAATTACCTACACAGCTACCGCCAGTTGGATATGACAGTAACCTACACATTCATAGGATCATTGATGACACACAAGTTCAGGGGTGCCGGAAATGAACGTTGAGTTTGGCTTTTGGCTGTTTAGCCTTCCAGAAACTCAGACTGTAGCCAAGGAGCAGATCTAATTTTTAAATTTGTTTTTTTACATTTACAATCCTGTGTCCTTTTTTTCCACTTACCAGTGTGTCATAGCACTGTTATACTGTGTTTTTACTTGTTGTGATGATCTCCCCTGCTAACCGAAGCTCACTGATGGCAGGGACCGTATTTCCATTGCTTCCATTGTACCCTCAGAGCCAAGCATGGTCTACAAATAGTAATTATTCATGTTTACTAAACTCATTAATTCCTTCATAGCCATCATAGTTTCTCTAATCCTTTTCATTAGATAAAATATTTAGATAGAATCCAGTTTTTGCTATTACAAGTAACACTGCAGGGAACATTTTTGTGCTGAATGCCTTTTTTCTGAGTTGAAGGTTGTAGGCATACAAATGTCTTAGATACTCAGATTCATATGTGAGTATGCGTGTATGTGTATCTCAGGTTTTGACTGTATTCTTTTGGTGTCTGTACTTGCACTTCTACCATATTCTACAAAAATTTACTTATAATATTCAAGTACATATTCCTGCTCCTAAAAAGAAGAGAGAACTTTTAATTAATGGAAGAATGTCAGTTGCACAGGACAGTAATGGCTACTACAGTAATTCATCTGAGCTAAGTCACAGGATTAAAATTGAATGTTTCTAGGAAATCCCTGTTTTTGTACAAGTTCAGAGAATTTACACAATAAAATGTTGCATTTAAAAAGTGTTTACATAAAAATTCTAATGAACTTTCATAATTTAGCCACATGAGGGCAGTAGAAATTCAAATTTCCATTCTGCTTTCCTTCAGATTTAAGGTAAGTAATTTTCAGACTGTTACAGCACTGAAAATAGTCTGCTAAGATTTTTTTTAATGCTTCCCTTAGGAAATTTATCTAAGTTTTTTAAGTGGTAGGATGAAAATTAAGAAAAATCTTAAGCAACTAAGTATTGAATAATCATACTGTTTTAAGAATTGTATACTTGGTAGCTGAGTTCTCTTGAAAAATAAGAGGGAAAAAAATGACTCTTCATGGTATGTCTAAATTTTTTGTTTTTAAAGGGCTCTCTTAATACATACAGATTCTGCGATAATGTGTGGACTTTTGTATTGAATGATGTTGAATTCAGAGAGGTGACAGAACTTATTAAAGTGGATAAAGTGAAAATTGTAGCCTGTGATGGTAAAAGTAAGTATTCATCTAATTACTGTGAAAGCAAAGCTACTTCAAATCTTGTATTCTGTTGGTGTCTGTATGAGTCTTTAGAAAAGTCTTCATCTGAAATTAAGGTGGAAAATGGCCAATGATCCACTCCCAGATAGAG